GGGATAAGCGCCGACTTCAGCAGGAATCACGATCTACATGATCCGTGAGTTGGAGCCCCAGCGTCAGGCTCTGGGCTGATGGCTCAGAACCTGGAGCCTATTTCTAATGTCCTCCCTCTCTCTGACCCTCCCGTTCATGCTCTCTCTCTCTGTCCCAAAATAAATAAACATTGAAAAAATTTTAATAAAAAAAAAAAAAAAAAGAAAGACATCCAGATATTAGCGGGTATATGAAGAGATGCTCAACATCACTCATCATCAGGGAAATGCAAACTGAAACCTCAATGAATACCACCTCATGCCTATTTGAATGGCTATTATCAAAAGACAGGGCGTAACAAATATTGGAAGGAGAAAAGGAAACCTTTATGCGGCTGTAGGTGGGATAAATTAACACAACCGTATGGAGAAAACAGTATAGGATCAAAATTACAATAATAGTTACAATATATCCTCTTAACCGACTGCGCCACCCAGGCGCCCCTGGATGTCTTCTTTATGAAAACATCTATTTAGTTCCTCTGCCCATTTTTAATCAGATCATAATTGTTGTCATTGTTGTTTGCTATTTAGTTGTAAGGTTTCCTTATACATTTTGGATATTAACTTCTTATCAGATATATGGTTTACAAATATTTTCTCCCATTCTGTTGGTTGTCTTTGCGTTTTTTTTGATTATTTCTTTTGTTGAAACTTAAAAAAAAAAGGTTATTGATTTTGAAAGAGAGAGAGTGTGAGCAGGGGAGGGACAGAGAGCGGGGGGAGACAGAGAGAATCCCAAGCAGGCTCCATGCTGTCAGCGCAGAGCCTGATGTGGAGGTTGAACCCACAAGCCGTGAGATCATGACCTGAGCTGAAATCAAGATTCAGATTTTAACCGACGGAGCCACCCAGGCGCCCTGAAACCTTTTAGTGTAATGTAGTCCCACTTCTTTATTTTTGCCTTTGTTGCTTGTGCATTTGATGTCGGATCCAAAAAATCATTGTCATGACCAATGTGCAGGACTTTTTCCCCTATGTTTTCTTTTAAGAGTCTTGTAATTTCGGGTCTTATGTTTAGGTCTTTTATCCATTTTGAGTTGACTTTTGTGTATGATGTAAGCTGATGGTCAAATTCATTCTTTTGCATGTGGATATCTAGTTTTCTCAGCACCATTTAAGAGACTATCTTTTTCCCGTTGTGTATTCTTGGTGCTTTTATCAAAAGTTAGTGGGTATGACTGGGTTTATTTCTAGGCTCTCTATCCTGTTTTGTCGATCTGTATGTCTTGTCTTGTCTTTTTTTTTTTTTTTTTTTTTTTTTTTTTTTTGCCAATACCATACTATTTTGATACCTATAGCTTTGTAATATAGTTTGAAATCAGAAAGTGTGATGCCTCCAGCTTACTTTTTGTGCTCAAGGTTGCTTTAGCTGTTTGAGGTCTGTTATGGTTCCATACAAATTTTAAGATTATTTTTTCTATTTCTGTGAAAAAAGGCCATTGGAATTTTGATAGGTATTGCATTAAATCTGTAGATCACCTTGGGTAGTGTGAATAGTTTAGTAATATTAATTATCCCAATCCGTGAACAAGGGATAACTTTCCATTTATTTGTGTTGTCTTCAATTTCTTTCATCAGTGTTTTATGATTTTCAGTATACAGATCTTCCACTTCCTTGGTTAAATTTCTCCCTAAATAGTTTATTCAACTTGATGCTATTGTAAATGGGTTTGTTAATTTCTTCTTTTTTTTTTTTTTGGATAGTTCATTGTTAGTGTATAGAAATGCAAATGATTTTTGTATGTTGATTTTTGTATCTTGCAACTTTACTGGATTCATTTATTAATTTTGACAGATCTTTGCTGGAGTCTTGAAGATTTGTATATGTAAGATCATGTCGTGTGCAAACAGAAAATTTTACTTCTTCGTTTCTGGTTTAGATGACTTTTATTTCTTTTTCTTGCCTAATTTCTTTGCTCTGGCTTAGGACTTCCAGGACTATGTTGAATAGAAGTAGTGAGAGTGGACATTTGTCTCTTCCTGATCTTAGAGGAGAAGCTT